AAAGGGTTCATATTTGTTGTCTGTACCTCCCATGTACCTCTCTATGTCTTTCTCATCCTCAATGCTGCCATATTGGTCACTCACATTTGGTACATGGTCCAGGCAGATTCTTAAGTATAAAAACAATGGGTACCTCAGAATTTAAAGTGGTGGGCATGGAAAATAACCAAAACCAAAACTAAACCAAACCCACCGCCACCAAGTCAATTCTGACCCATAGCAACCCCGTCGGGTTTCCAAGGGTGTCAATCTTTACGGAAGTAGACTGCCTCAGCTCTTTCTCCATCACAGTGGCTGATGTCTTAGAATCACCAACCTTTTTTGATTAGCAGCCGAATGCCTTAGCCACTGTACCACCAAAGTTCCTTAACCCAAATCAAAGCATGGTGTAAACGATAAACTTGTGGTTCTAGAAATATTGCAGAATAGGCCTCCTGGAAGACTTATGCTACTAATATCTAAAAGTCCTGGGTAAAATTTGATATTCTCTTAAAGGCAGAGCTAAGCTTAAAGAAAATGGAGATACTTAGATGCAAGCAACCAAGAGATAACTGAAAACCAGAGTAATTATCATATGAGAACTTGCCTGGGGATGGCTTATTACTGGGGGTCCTAGAAGTTTAGCTTTAATTATGGAAGAGGAGAAATAAGGCTTTTGGCTCTAGGACATGAAGAGTTAGAACCACGCCTCAGCACAAAATCCAGAGCTCCTCAGAATTTGTCACTTACAGAAATGGTGGCTGGAAACATCTTCCCAATGGCACAGGGAGATGATAGGGGTGCTTGTTAGTCTTTGAGGTTCTTGAGAAAGGGTTGGGGTCTCATATCTTTCTAAGGATATGTACTCAGAACCACCTATGTATTTATAATTGATTTGCTTTCATCTCTTAAAGTTCCATGTCTGGTAAGGGTGGGTTCACGGTGGCAGCTCTAGTTCTTATCTCCTCAGCCAGAGGAAGACGGGGAACGGGGCAGGAGGAGAGCATACCAAATCCTTTTAGGGCTAAAACTGAGAGTGCGTCACATCACCTCCACTCCCACCATCATTGGCTAGAACTTAGTCACATGATCACATCCAGCTAGATGACGAGGGAGCTCTACCCCTAAAAAGAAGAAAAAGGAAGAATATACATATTAGGGGACAATTATCAGTGTCTGAAGTTTCAGTGGGTCCTGAGTGGTGCAAAAAGGCACTTGGCTGTTAACTGAAAGACTGGAGGTTGAAACCCACCCAAGGTGCCTCAGAAAAAGGACCAGCCGTCTATTTTGGAAAAATCAGCCACTGGTAGACGGCACAGCTCTATTCTGACACACACATGAGGTCACCATGAGTTGGAATCCACTTGAAGGCAATTTTTCTGCTGTTGTCTTGAGGTTTCACCGAGAGGGTACAGTCTGGGAGTTAATAAATAAACATATATTTTAAAACTTCATATTGAATTATAAATACATATATAAAAGTGCACAAGTCACAAGTGAACAGCTTCCTGAATTTTCAGAGTGAACACACCTGTGTAACGAGCTCCCAGCTCAAGAAATTGAACACATCAGGATCCCTGAGTTTTTAAGCTCCCCTGACAGCTTGAGGGCGGAGTCAGAAGGAGGAGGGCTGTAAGTTCAGCCTGGTGGCTAAGCTAGGGGCGTGGTAAACACGTCAAGGCGGGGTCAAGGGCGGTTGCAGGTGAGTTACGTAAAAGTAGGCGTGGTTAGACGAAAACGTGAGGAGTTTGTGCTGGAAGCTCGCTGGCCACGACAGGTTTGTTACCAGTCCCGGTCTGGTCTAGGAAGGGGCGGGACTTCGTGGAGTTACGCATTGGGGGCTGGACTTCCTGCTTGGAGTCCCGGCTAGAGTGGTGGGGCGAGGTTACGCGGTGACAGGAATTCGCGGTCAAAATGAGCGAAGTCTAGCGCCCTAAAGCCATCCTGAGTCCCAAGGGCGAATCAGGTGGAGCGTTAGCCGGGTTAAGCGAAAGAAACTTTTAAAACTTGAGCCGCTTAGCGTTAAGCGCGGGGGCTGGGCTCCGCGCCGTCCAGACTGACGCTGAAGCGAGGGGGCGGGGTCAGGCGTGTTTTCCAACATGGCGGCGGCCAGTGCCGGACTGGCGGCGAACGTTTTCCCGTTCCGCGATATTCGCTCTGCGCCGGACCCAGTGCTGGAGGCAGGCCCAGTGGCATACGGGCCGCTGCCGGTGCCGCTGGTGCTGGACAACGGGTCGTTTCAGGTCCGTGCTGGCTGGGCATGTCCTGGGCCGGACCCTGGCCCTGAGCCGCGCCTGCAGTTCCGTGCGGTGTGCGCCCGCGGTCGTGGTGCGGCTCGGGGTGGGCCGGGCCCGCAGGTGGGCAACGCGCTAGGCAGCCTGGAGCCGCTGCGCTGGATGTTGCGCTCGCCTTTCGACCGCAACGTGCCAGTTAACCTGGAGCTACAAGAGCTGCTGCTTGACTACAGTTTCCAGCACCTGGGTGTTTCCTCGCAGGTGAAAGGCTGGGGTGTGCTGCGTTGAGGGGAGGGGTGAGGTCTTATCCTTGCTCTCTTCTCTCGCCCGGAGGGATAACAGCTGCTTCAGTGGTTTTGATTATCATTGTCATGCATTCAGATGGCCGATCAGATATTAAACGCCTGAAGTGTGTGGGGTAGCTGTGAGTCGGAATCAACTCTATGGCAGTGAGTTAGGGTTTGGTTTATTTGAACGTGTGTAGGGCCGGTGCTGAGCGCTTGGGGTGAAGCAGTGAACTACAGCGCCCCCCTCCGCCTTCTCTTGCAGCATACATTCGGGCATAGATGCTTATTTGTTAATACATCGATTTCTTAAAAAAATATTTATTGAGTGCCCACTCTACTCTTGTCAGGCACGTTTCTAGGCAGTTGCAGTGCAACCGTGAATATAACGAAATTTCTTGTGTTTATGGAGCTGGTATGGAAAGACATTATGTATAGAAGCATAGATGATAAACAGTAGAACAGAGAAGTAAATTCTATGGCATACTAGAAGGAGAGGAGAGGCTTGCGTTATTGTTATTATTTTTAATAATTTGGCCAGGATAGGTCCCTGGAGAAGGTGGTGTTTGAGCAAGGACTTGAAAGAGGTGACTGAGGGAGCAAGCCACGTGGATCTCTGAGAAAAGAGTTTTCGAGACAAGAGCAGCCAGTGCAGAGGTCCTGAGGCAGGAGTGTGCCAGTCCCTAGAAAAGGGCATCGTGTTTGTTTAGGTACGGGGTCAGCGAGAACCCTCAATGACATGGATTGGCCAAATGGCCACAACAGTGGGCTATGGTGCAGGGCTGAACAGTGTTTCATTGTTTTATATATAAGGTCACCGTGGGTTGAAGCCGACTCCATAACTAACAATAACAGTGTGTGGGGGGGCTGTCAAAGATAGGAAGCTAGGGCACAAGTCACATACTTCATAGGTTTTTACTCTAAGTGCAATAGCTGTTGCAGTGTTGAGCCAAGGAGGGACATGACCTATGTTTTAAAAGAATATGGCTGCTACAGAGGAGCCCTGTTGGTGTAATGGTTAAGCAGTGGACTGCTAACCAAAAGGTTGGCAGTTCGAATCTACCAGGTGGCTCCATGGGAGAAAGACCTGGCAATCTGCTCCCATAAAGATTACAACCTAGAGAACCCTATGGGTAATTCTCTGTCACATGGGCTCAGAATTGACTCAGCAACAACATGGCTGCTCCATGGTCTGTACTGGGCCCTAGGATGGAGCAGACCAGTTAGGAGGCTGTTGTTGTGATGTGGGTGAGGGATGATGGTGACTTAGAAGAGGGGGTTGCAGTGGATGTGGTAAGAAGTGGTTGGATGCTGGAGCTATTTGGCAGAGCCAATTTAATAACCTGGAATTATCCTCCTCTTGTATTTTAAGGAGCTCTTGTGGTGTAATGGGTAAGGCATGTGACTGCTAACCAGAAAGTCAGTGGTTCAAAGCCACCAGCTGTTGCACAGGAGGAAGATGAGGTAATCTACTTCTGTATCGCTGAGTGGGAATTGACTTGATGGTTGTTTTACAAAACAACCTCCAGTGGAGCTGAGATCATTGTTTTATAATTGCCTCTGATCAAGTGTTTGTTGTTGGTCACCGTGGGTTGAAGCCGACTCGGTAACTAACAAGTTATGTGCTTTCGAATTGTTTCCGACTCATAGTGACCCCTCCTTGGGTTTCCGAGGTGGTATCACTAGGGAAGTAGATTGCCCAGTCTTCCTTCTCAGGAGTTGCTGGTGGGTTTGAACCACCAACCGTCTGGTTAGCAGTCAGGTGTTTGATTAAAAACTGCAAATGCAAATATGGCTCCATAATAAGACTTTTTAAACAATGCTTTAAAAAGAATATTCTTCTGTCACTCATCTGGTTGCTCTTTTCTTTCAAAGTAGGGCTGTGTTGATCATCCCATAGTTTTGACAGAAGCTGTATGCAACCCCCTGTACTCACGGCAGATGATGTCTGAGCTTCTTTTTGAGTGCTATGGGATACCAAAGGTCGCCTATGGGATAGACAGTCTGTTCAGCTTCTACCACAATAAGCCAAAGAACTTGAGTTCCAGTGGGCTCATCATTTCATCTGGATACCAGTGTACACATATTTTACCCATCTTAGAAGGGAGGTGAGTTATACTTTTGACATATGAGTGCTCTAGGCATGTTTTGGAAACATTTATTGAGTGCTTACTTTAAAGGTGAAGTGAAAAAAGTGAGTACTGGACCAGGACCTGGGTGCTAGCTAGGCTCTGAGTCTGCTTCATCATTGGACAATGTTTAAGTCCTTAGAGATGTGCAGGGGGTTGGAGTAGGTGCTCTCACAGGTCCAAGTCTGTAATTCTAGAATTTTATTATTCTGATTTATGGGGAGCTACTAGCACAGAGCTTGTATGTAGTCCAAAAACCAAACTCACTGCTGTCAAGTCGTTTCCAACTCATAGTGATCCCTCCTTGGGTTTCCGAGGCGGTATCTCTATGGAAGTGGATTGCCCAACCTTCCTTCCGAAGAGTGGCTGGTGGGTTTGAACCACCAGCCTTCTGGTTAGCAGTCAAATGATTTAGGCACTACGCCACCAGAGCTCCCTTGTATGTAATAGGCACTCAATAAAAGTGTTTTGAATGACTTGCTTGAATATATTTCATTTAGACTGTCTTTGTGTATTGGAGTCCCTTGTTTATTATTAAGAGATTGTATTTTTTTATTCAGGATCTTTAATCACAATTGTTCAGACCTTTTCAGGTTCACTGCCGGCCTGCCATTTGATAGGCACTAAATATTTCTGAATCAAATGGAAGGGAAGTATAGTTTCTGTCATATTTAAAATCTGTTTTCATCTTATAGTTGGACTTTGTCTGGTAAGATATGAGGTGCAAAAGGGACATGGAGGCGGTATCTTCCTCTAGCCTCCTCCAGTCTCACAATGGGGACACAGAGTCACCATCAGCAGCCCAAGGCTTATTCCTGTGAGGCCAGACATGCCACCTTCCTCTAGCCTTTTTACCATTTCTGATACCAACCCTCTCTCCCCCGGCACTCACTACTTCGCTTCTGCGTTCCATAATTCATTGCTATGACCACACAGATCTCAGACAGTACTCTTGATTATAGGTTTATTAGGGAAGTAACAGGCTGCAATTCAGGTTTAGGAACATGCTTAGGACACAGTTCTTCAATCAGAACAGTCTCCTCTCTGCTGTGCCATCAAGCACACCTACCTGGGCCATGGCCTCTCTTGCCTGGCCTGTGCCCTGCTTGGGCAACTGTTACAAAGCTCTTTTAGGTCTGCTGATGTTGTTGTTAGGGGCTGTCGAGTTGTCTGCAACTCATAGCAACCCTGTATATAACAGAATGAAGCACTGCCTGGTCCTGTGCCAGCCCCACGATCCTTGCTATACCTGAGCCCATCGTTGTAGCCACTGTGTCAGTCCATCTTGTTGAGGGCCTTCCCCTTTTTCGTCGACCCTCCACTTTACCAAGCATGAATGACATCCTTCTCCAGGAAATGGTCCCTTCTGACAACATGACCAAAGTAGATGAGACGAAGTCTGGTCATTCTCACTTCCAAGGAACATTCCGGATGCACTTCCTCCAGGACAGATTTGTTAGTTCTTTTAGCAATCCATGGTACTTTCAGTATTCTTTGCCAACGCCACAATTTAAAAGCATCAACTCTTCTTCAGTCTTCCTTATTCATTGTCCAGCATATGATATATAAATATATTCATGCATATGAGATGATTGAAAATACCATGGGTTGGGTTAGGCACATCTTAGTCTTTAAGGAGACATCTTTGCTCTTCAGTTCTTGAAAGAGGTCTTTTGCAGCAGATTTGCCCAACGCAATATGTCATCTGATATCTT